AGTTCCTAAACTTACCACTACAATATGCTTCTAGCTTGAATCTCCTCCTACAACTTGCTGACAGTAACCTACAAATAAAATAAAAAAAATTCAAACCAAACTGAAAATTAAAATATGGAAATCAATTATTAGATCCAATAAAAGAAATTAACCAACGTTGGCATATAGAAGAAGAGAAAGAGAGGTGAAAACTTGAATTCTAAAATCTCAATTTAAGCTTCAATCCCAAAATCTCAATTTCTATCTAGGCTTAAGGTTTCGGTAGAAGTGGAGAGGAATGTGAGGGAGCTCAGTAGAGAAATCAATCGAGAGAATAGAGTTTGAATCAGAATTTAGGGTTTCAGTCAAACTAGAGATAGAGGATCGAGAAGTTCTCACCGTTTTCGATGATCACCGTCGTCGCCGGAGGTGAAATTAGGGCTTGCAGGTGAAACTGGATCTCTTCGTCATCGTCGTTGTCGTCACCACCGCCGATTGAGAGCAATTGAGAGTGGAAGTGGGGAGGGTGAGAGATCGCGAGAGCGGGAGGGGGTGGAGATCGTGAGAGCGGAAGTGGAGAGAGAAGAAACGATGGAATTGCAAATGACAGTCTATTGGTAGGGATTTAGAATTATGGGTCTAGTATAGGTTAAAATGTTGATGGATTTGGGTGAATATCCAGTATTTTAAATTCTTTTGGATCCAAACAATAGAATTGGGTCAAATACAGTATTTGAAATGAAATCCTAGTTACCAAACATGCTATTATATTATTTAGGTTTTGTGTTTGTATATTTGAGAAAATTGATATTTTCTCAAGTAGAAATCAATAGAAAAAACAAGAAATAATGCGTGTGGTGGTCGTACGACTCGCACTTGTTGGTACAATTGCCCAAATTTCTAGTTATGTCATCGTTTTTTAACATTACATTGTTAGCTTTGTATGTCTTAACTCCTTATGCCTGAAGCTTTTTTAGTGATCTTATTAGGTTTGTTTGCTCTTCTATAGTTCAATTCCTGAGCTCATGTATCATTTTGAATCTTCAAGTTATTTGGAGATATTCTTAACATCTTAGAATGCAAACCCTATTAAAGAGTCATATTTCAATCAACGTGGATAACAAATATAAAACCAATGTGAGTTGTTTTAGTTACTTTTCCGCTTGCATAAATTATAAAAAAAAATTCCAACAGTGAAGTTACAAAATACCATTGATAAGTCACGAAATCCCAAAAGTAGTTCACATTCCACCTGTTAGTTATCAGTTAGCTGAAGAAACATTATTGCTAATAAAGTAATAATTTATTATACCAAGCAATAATTCCCAATTAAAAAAGTCAATAATTTCCTAAAAAAACACTGAGCGGTAAGCTTACCACCTACGTCACCAGCTCCAACTCCTTTATATAATCCATAGCTTTTGGTTGGTAAAACACATCATTAAGTAACACATATAAAATGTTAGGATGTGCCAGGCTCGCACGTAACTGACCAGGTGAGCCTTTATTAATTACTTTTCTGGTTTAATTTCCCGAAAAAGATTTTATTTTTCACACGTGTCGATTTATGATTGGCGAACTGGGTCAGGTTCCGGTTCTCCAGGGCTTGATGGGAACTGCCCCAAAGGTTCTCCGCTTTGGAAAGATTAAGCCGAACCTTCAGCAAAATGACTATATTATCCCTCTTATTGGAAGAAATATTTTAGGGCTAAAGCTACCAAATTGTTATCTTTAGTAGGAACATATTTTCAATACATGAGATTATACTATACTATTCATACCAATATTTTGTGTCAATTTAATATTATATTATTTTGCAAAAATAACCAATTTGGTATATTATAGTATAAAAAAAATATTGTATTGATATTAATTTTGATAGTAACAGTATAATATCACTAAAAAAACATACTGAAAAAAACATCCTAACATAATGCTCATTTGGTAATTTAGCCTATATCTTAAGAGAAGCATTAATGCAAGTTAATTTCCATACTGCTTGTAAAACTATTCTTCAAAGGACTCAAAATCCAAAAATATAAACTCCTCTTTCATTAATTGCTATCATCTATATAAAATCATCAACTGTTCGAAATTTAATTAGTGTAGGAAAACGTATAATCAATAGAAATTAGTACACACATCTACTGAACCAATAGGATCAATACACAATGTAAATTAGTATAATCATTAATTTTAAAATGCTTAGCAAAACCCACATTGTTAGTGAGATACGCTTGCTACATACATACTTGTCATGTTAGTTACTAAAAATAGAATTGTTTGTTCCTGTAGGGGTACAGAGGTAATTTCCGTGATCCGAAATATGGGGGGCTGTTGCGGCGATATTGACGGAAAATTTTTGGAGACGTTTTCAAACTGCGTAACGGATAATTGGCTAAGCTATTTTGTAAAAAATTGTATTGATTACGAGGGCATTGGACTTGGGTTTAAAAACGGGTAAACACCCATATTAGTATTTTAATTCCATCATATTTATCAAGAAGGTATTTTAATTAGGTAAACCTCTTTTAAGGTATTTTAATTGATTCAACTTACTAACAAGGCTCTTTTTCTCGTCGACGATCAGTTTTTTAGCGAGAGCTCGTCACGTGTGTGGCACGTGATGACTTAAACTATTTTTTAGCTACCGATGTGGCACGGATTTTCTAACGTGGCAGTGTTTAAAGGCGGGAATTAACCCTCTAAAAATCCCAATTCACCCAAAATAGGATAGATTCACCTAACTGTTTTATCCATGTCAGAAAATCCATGCCGCATCAGTAGCTAAAAAACAATTTAAGTCATCACGTGCCACGCATGCGACGAGCTCTCACCGGAAAACTGGTCGCTAACGAGAAATATTGTCTTGTTGGTAAGTTGAATCAATTAAAATGCCTTAAAACAGATTTACCTAATTAAAATACCTTCTTAGTAAATGGGATGAAATTAAAATACCAATATACGTATTTAGCCCGTTAAAAACTCAGCCCAGAGTATCTCTCGTTTGAGAATTATAAAGAAAAAGAAATTGGGATATTTCAGGCCGAAGCCTGAGTTCTATTCCCCACTCTACCAAGTGAACGCTGAATGTTTGGATCTCAACTTCCATTCCTACGCTCAGAAGTTAGGCCAGAATCAAACCAGGAATCTAGAGGGTGTAATAGTATTATCACTGCGTCTCCAGACCATCCACGCGATCCATGGTGGGTAGGAAAAGAAGAAACTATTTGAGCTATTTTTTTAAGGGCTTTGCTTCGGTGCTCCTAAAATTGTTTATTAATTTTGTTGAGTTATTTAGATAGTAATTAGTTAATATTGTAAGGACCTATCTGTAAGAGTGCACTTCTATAAAAGGGGTACCTCTCTATGAGATTGGGTAACCCTAATTTCACCCAAAAAACTACATGGTATCAGAGCTTGGGAGACCGAGCAAACCCTAGCCGCCAGACTACCCTCCTCTCTCCGTTCCCCTCCATTCCCCCCTTTCTTCCTCTCTCCGTTCCCCTCCATTCCCCCCCTTTCTTTTTCGAGCGCGTCAAGGCCCAATCCCGCACTCCTCAGCCCTCTCGACCGCGCCCTCGTCGAGCTCCTCAGCTGTGAAGTGCGAGATCAGGGCCTGAGGGGGACGTGGGCAGCAGATCGCATCAAGGCATGGTACCCGTGCGGCTCCGGCACCGACGACTTCACCGTGGCTGCTGATCTGCTGCTACAGTGTTGAGGAGATGAGATGAGGAAGGGGTCAAGAGGGTGATGTGAAGAAGGGAATGCTTGAAACCAAGGAAAGGAGGAAGGCCTGGTGTGAAGGATCTAGCTTTGAGATTCGGTGTTTTTGAGGGGAGATTCTGTGTTTTTGAGGGAAGAGAAGGACCGAGACTATTGCTGTTTTTTATTGTGATTTGGGGATTTTGTGGAAGAGGAGATGACTGTTACTGATTAGATTAAAAAAAAAAAAACTGTTGGTTGAGAACTTTAACCTTCGGGTTTATTAACCTTCGGGTTCTTGAAAACTTTAACCTTCGGGTTTATTAACCTTCGGGTTCTTGAGAACTTTAACCTTCGGGTCCCCTAACCTTCGGGTTCCTAAAACTGTCCTTGAGCTTGTTCAAGGAGTTGTAGAGTGAGATCTGAGAATCTAGGGGTTTGGATCGAGATCTACCCCTCGGATCTGATCGAGGTGAAGAGAAGGGGATCAACTGTGAAGATGGGAACACCTGTGACTAGTCAGGAATTGAAGGAGATCCTGGAGGGGGTGGCCAGGGTATTTCAGACAAAACTAGAAGAGAATTCTAGTAGGTCGACTGTGACCGCATCAGAGTCGGCGCAGGTAATGGAGAGGGTAAAGTTGCTATCGAATGACATCAAGCTTGAGGGGACAAGAAACTATCTGAGTTGGTCTCGTAGGGCATTACTGAACCTTCGAATCAAAGGACTTGAAAAGTATGTGAAGGGGGAACGCACTGAGCCGGAGAATAAGGCGAGTGCTGAGTGGAACACATGGAGTAATACTAATTCTCTAGTGGTTTCTTGGTTGTTGACTTCTGTGTCTCCAACCATAGCTGGGATGGTGGAGTCTATCTCAAATGCAGCTGATGTCTGGAAGACATTGGAGGGGATGTACTCTGGAGCTGGGAGTGTGATGATGATGATGGAAGTGGAGGAGAAGATTGATGCCACCACACAAGGGGAGAAGATAGTTCACCAGTATGCAGCAGAGCTATGTCATTTATGGGCGGATTTGGATCACTATGACCCGTTATCACTACAAAACTCAGCAGATGTTCTTTTGAGGAGGCAGTATCTTGAGCGCAGGCATGTGGCTCGCTTCCTCAAGGGCCTGAACCCAAAGTTTGAGGGAAGGAGGGTAGCAATGTACCACCTGTCATCTCTCCCATCCTTAGATGAGGCTATTGCATCGATGGAACAAGAAGAGATCAGACAGAAGGTGATGACAGGTGAGGCCTCACCCGTTGTCCGCTCGGCATTGGTGGTTCCAGATGCTCGTATCAGAGATGACAGAGAGTGCTATAATTGTGGAAAGAAAGGGCATCTCAGCTACAATTGCCCTCAACCCCGCAACACTGGTGGCAACCGAGGAGGCAGAGGACAAAGAGGTGGCCGTGCAGGTCGAGGAGGCAGGGGACGTGGAGGCCGAGGAGTTGCTCACCTAGCTGTGACAATGGAGTCCCAGACTACTACTGGGATGACTGGAGCTGAAATAACAGAGTTAGAGAAACTACGTCTGTTCAAGCTTCAGGCTGAGAGTTCGAAGGGCAAGGGACAAGTCACTCAGGATCTGGATAACACTACCTGCTTTGGTAACTTTGTTGGTTATGCTCATGCGAACAAAGGTACACAGGTTCAGGCACTTGCATCCACTAAAACTCATGTTGATTGGATCATAGACTCAGGTGCATCTAGGCATGTCACAGGAGCATCTAGTGAGTTTGCATTATATTATCCGAGTAAGCATATGCATCCTGAGACAGTTCAGACTGCTGATGGGACATCCCAACCCATCAGGGGTACTGGCTCGGTCCATTGCACTTCATCTGTTACCTTGTCATCTGTATTGCATGTTCCTTCGTTTCCAGTTAACTTACTCTCAGTTAGCTCTCTCATTGATCAATTAAATTGCACCGTGTTATTTGATCGAGATTTGTGTGTCTTTCAAGAGAAGGAAACGGGGAGGAGGATTGGGACTGGTATTAGACGTGATGGTCTTTGGTATTTGGACAGGGAGACTGCAATGATTGCTGCTGCTGTTAGCGGAGGGCCAGAGGCAGAAGCGATGCTTCAACATTGCCGGTTAGGGCATTTATCTTTTGAGAGTTTAAATAGATTAGAACCTGAGTTAATGAAGAAAGTGGATAGAAAAGAGTTATTTTGTAATGCCTGTGAACTTGGAAAACATACTCGTTCTACTTATAGAATGATTGGTCTTCGAAGTTGTGAACCATTTGCACTTGTCCATTCTGATGTTTGGGGACCATGTCCTACTACCTCTATTAGTGGTTTTAGATGGTTTGTTACTTTCATTGATTGTTATTCACGTATGGTCTGGATATACATGATGAAATAAAAATCTGAGGTTTACAAATGTTTTCAAGACTTCTCAGCCTATGTGAAGACGCAGTTTGGAGTGCAGGTGAAGATTCTCCGAACAGATAATGGGACTGAGTATGTCAATAAGGAGTTTGCCGCTTTCATCTCTAGTCAGGGAATCCTTCATCAAACCACCTGTCCAGACACCCCTGCTCAGAATGGGGTAGCTGAACGTAAGAACAGGCATCTACTGGAAGTGGCTCCCCCCTTGATGTGAGAAATGAATGTGCCTAAGTTTTTATGGAGTGAGGCTGTTATGACAGCAGCTTATTTGATCAATAGGATGCCATCAAGAGTATTAGGGATGAAGACACCATGTGAGATGCTTTTGGGCTCGAATGTTTTTGTTGTTCCACCAAGAGTGTTTGGATGCACATGTTATGTGAGAGATCACAGATTGATGGTGAGTAAACTGGATCCTCAAGCAGTTAAATGTATCTTTGTTGGCTACTCATCAAGTCAAAAAGGATACAAGTGTTGGTGTCCCACTGAAAGAAGGTTGTTTGTCAGTATGGATGTGACTTTTCGGGAGTTTGAACCTTTTTATGGGAAGAAGACGGAGTTGAGTTCCTTGTTTGGAGATGGCTCTACTGATGCTAGTAGAGAGGAGGAGAATGAAAATGAGCATGAGAATGACGTCGTGGTTGGGATGATTCCATGTCCTCTTGAGTCACCGAGCAGTGATGGTACACTGTCGGGTAGTGGTGGTGACTCAGGAGGTGATAGTCAAGGTCAGGGGGAGCTGAGAGTATACACGAGGAGACAGAAACAGCAGCATAAGCCGTCTCCTGTGCCTACGCCAGTGCCCACAAATATTGATGTCCCAAGTCCATCCTCTCCAGTGACTTCTCCACCTGAGTCAATAGGTAACGAGTTCTTCCCCGATACTTCTAACACTCCCGTCTTACCCCGCAGAACCTCCAGAGTCAATGCTGGAAAACCCCCAGCTAAGTTTGGTAGTTGGGATACTGACATCGCGAATTACATTTCATATGCATCTATTCCACCTGCATATAAGTCATTTATTGCATCATTGCATTCGGTGCCTGTACCTAACAACTGGCAGGACGCTAAGAAAGACCCTAGGTGGTTGAGTGCCATGCAAGAGGAACTTCAAGCCTTGAAGAAGAATAATACATGGGAACTGGTACCTTTGCCAGCTGGGAAGCGTGCTGTTGGATGTAAGTGGGTGTATACGGTTAAGCAAACTCCAGAGGGCAAGATCGACAGATACAAAGCCAGATTGGTTGCTAAAGGCTACAGTCAAACGTATGGTATTGACTATGACGAGACATTTGCTCCAGTAGCAAAGATGAGTACTGTTAGAGTGTTGGTGTCATGTGCTGCCAACTTTAATTGGCCACTACATCAGCTAGATGTCAAGAATGCATTTTTGCATGGAGATCTCCAGGAGGAGGTGTATATGGAGATTCCACCAGGCTTCGCCACCTCTCAAGTAGCTGGGAAGGTGTGCAAGTTGAAGAAGTCTTTGTATGGGTTAAAACAGTCTCCGAGGGCATGGTTTGACAGATTCAGGTTGGCAGTCTGCGGTATGGGGTACAAGCAGTGCAATGGAACGACTACCGGTGTCTACAAGGCACTCCAAAACTCGTTCCACTATTCTGCTGGTCTATCTGTGGATGATATTGGGTAATCACTGGACTGATGTTTGAAGAAATCCTACCGGTTGAAGAAGAAATTGGGAGAGCAATTTGAGTTAAAGATCTGGCGACAGTTGAATACTTCCTCGGAATTGAAATGCAAAGGTCGCGAACAAGGGTATCAGTCCTCTTCCTCAGCGCAACGTTCATCCCCCTGGATCTTCTCTCAGAGACAGGGATGTTGGGGTGTAGAGTTGCATCTACTCCTATTGAGCAGAATCATAAGATGAGTGCCGAGGGTGGTGACCCAGTGGGTAAAGAGCAATATCAAAGATTAGTTGGGCGACTTATATATTTATGTCATACGAGACCTGATATTACTCATGCCGTGAGTGTGGTGAGTAGATATATGCATGATCCCAGAGAGCAGCATATGGAGGCAGTTCGCAGAATTCTTAGATATATTAAGGGAAGCCCAGGAAAGGGGTTGTGGTTCAGAAGTTCTGGACATCTGAGAATTGAAGGCTACTGTGATGCTGATTGGGCGGGTTGTATGGATGATCGTAGATCCACTACAGGCTACTGTGTATTTGTTGGAGGCAATCTCGTATCTTGGCGTAGCAAGAAGCAAGATGTGGTGGCTAGGTCTACAGCTGAGGCAGAGTACAGGGCTATGGCAGTTGGTCTGTGCGAGTTGATGTGGGTCAAAAACGTATTATTTGAGCTGCGCTTGTTTAGAAGAGACTCCTTACAACTTTGGTGTGATAACAAATCGGCAATTAATATTGCAAATAATCCAGTTCAGCATGATCGCACCAAACAAAGAGCAACTGAATTGAGGAGTTCTTACTTTGAGCTATGTGAAATCAGAAGAGCAGTTAGCTGATTGTTTAACAAAAGGATTAGGTTCTAGAGAGTATGATATCTTTTGTAACAAGATGGGGATGATTGATATCTATCGCCCATCTTGAGGGGGAGTGTTGAGTTATTTAGATAGTAATTAGTTAATATTGTAAGGACCTATCTGTAAGAGTGCACTTCTATAAAAGGGGTACCTCTCTATGAGATTGGGTAACCCTAATTTCACCCAAAATCCCACAAATTTATTTTTTAAAAAGGGTAAATTTGGAAAAACAAAAAAAATCTTCGTCCCCACCAATTTCTCATCCACAGAATTCCATCAAACGCGTATAAATCCGTTTAAATAGAATCATAGGTGAATTACGCTAAGAAAATTCCTCAATAAAGATATCAACAAGAAATCTAACATGTGATTGAATGCGATACAAGGAAATTGGATCCGAAGAAAATCGACCATCAACCATGTTGATGAACTTAAACAAAGCAATCATGTTCATTCAAAATCTCAGTTGTTTAGTTGAAAATTAATCGAATGAAGGTTCCCAAGGCCTAAGAGAAAGCCAATTAATGCCGGGCTCATACATACAGTTCCTCCATGCAAAAAGAATTTATTTCCAGTCAGATTGGCCCGGTGGCGACACTCATGATCTCGGGCTCAATACTCTAGAGAAAGAAGACGCTCATATGAAGTATTTCATAGGATCGATGACCATATCAAAAATTAAATTCCATTAGGTTTGGCCATTCGCGCAATGAATTAGGGAATTGGAGAAGAAAACCACGTCAAAAAAATAAAGACTCTGAGAGTTTTTCATTAGTTGGAGAATTCTAACTACTTCCTATTTATCTTCTTATTTATACTTCCTAAAATAACCTTTTTATCTAAGTGAAATTACTTTTTTAGGTGTGGAACTACTGTCAACTACCTTATCCCTCAAATTTAGGATGTGAGAGAGATTTTTAAGGAAACAAACTATACCAACTGCTTGGGAGCACAGAAGCTGTTAGCTTTTTTTAATTTAATTTTATGTTTAATCTAGCCATCCGCGAAGTTTTTATATTCTATTTTTTCTTATTTTTCTCTACTATGTTGTCTTCTAATCAAGCGGGCAGAGCCAAGTTTTAAATTGTTTTAATGTTCTTTCAAGTTTGACCTTACTCCATGAAATTTAAAATTCTTGATAATTATTTATGATTATGATACTAGTCAAATAGAAATAAGAATATTTTAGAAATATTTATAATAATAATATAAGCACTAATTATTGATCAGACGTTCGTTTTTATTTTATTTTATGTAATTTGGGGTGACTAATTAGCTTTTCCGTTCAAGATTAATGGCTTTCAAAGCTTCAGGAAAATAACTCATGAAGAATTAAACTTTCTATAGTCTAGAGTCTTAAAGTATAGACTATGAAGAATTATACCTCTGCTTAACCAGTCGTGAAATCTAAAGATTCATTCCCTCTAGTCTAGAGTCTAATTAAACCAACTTTCTGCTTTCTAAAAGCCTAGTTTCATGCTCTTCAAGAGAAAACATGAGACATTTCGTTTTATTTCACAATAAACACAATTACAAAAAGATGAATTTTTAATTTGGAGTAGAAATTTCCAATCACATGGTTTAGATATGTTTAGCTTCTTTACATACACCCAAAAATGTGACTATAATTATCTTCTTAATATAGATAAATAATGTGATATACAACAAAACCAAAACATGGCCTAGTCCCTTTTACAGCAAGGTTTAATCCCACAACATCTCTTCCCCTTCATGGAAAAATGAACAATCCCTCCATCCATAGAAACATGCCTATATGCTGAACCACAATTTCTTGTGCTCGATAAACACCACGAACCGTAGAAAACCTCAATAACTTCTGATGAGAGCTTGTTTCTGCTCAGATCAAGCAGTTGTAAATTCACAGCAGAGTCGATTGCAGTACCAAGCTCTTGAACCAACTGAGATCCTGCTAACTGGCTCCTATGACTTGAGCTTGCAGAGCTACTACCTTTGGGCCGTTCAGGCTCCTCGTCGTCGCTATCAGCAGCTTCCATTTTGTTTTCTAAACATTTTGGTGAGCCTGTCTCATATTCCAAGGTTCTATCTTGAGGTATGTCAGTGTTCTCGGCCAGATGCAGCTCTTCCAGAGATTCATTTTCTTGAAGAGACGAAAAGAAATTCAGTAGTTAACAAAGTGGAACTGTTAATAGATGAAGAGGTCGTGAAGGACTTTTAACCTGATAGTGCCTGAATTATCTGAATGATTCCAATGAGCCCGAGATGACATTTGTTCAGAATAAGAGATTTGAGACAGCATTGTTGGTCCATTAGGATAGTTCTTAAAGGATCAAAAACCTGTAATATCAATAAGAACAAATCCACAATCTAACCAGATAACATCCTTCAAATATGAACCAATCCTTGCACATTCAGGTGGCTGACGTCATGTGTGGGTGTATTTATATTTATACTTGATAGAAAATAAAATTAAAATTGTCATCTGCTGTTTCTTGTACTGCTTTGGATTTACTGCAATTGGGATGCCTATGAATTTGTTTAGCGAAAGCATTAAGCCGTTTGAATTAGGTGACCTACCATCCATGCCAAAACAGAAATCTGGCAGCCACACTGAGATGAAGACCCTCAACAGGAAAAGAATAAAGTAGGGTTATTAACATATATACCCCTTAAATTTTTTCCCAATTAAGTAATGTAAAACTCAAGTGCTTTTCTAACCTAGGCAGCATTATGTAGTATCTAATAATCCTGACGTTGAATTTTGCAATGCAGCTTGGTTCTGAAGAGATGAAATGACAAACCTCTTGACCAATGAAATTTCCTTCAAGATTCAATTCAGCAAGTCCACCAACCAGGGAAACATTTGCACATATCTTGGGAAAATCATGAGATGACAGTCCACAGTATGACAGGTCTAACTTCACCAAGTCTTGTGGTCCACTACATAGTGCAGAAGTTAACATCACTGCTCCATCCTGTGAAGGCAAATATGATTGAGTAATAATCACGAGCAGCATAATTTATTTGTAAATTACAAAGTAATATTTTTGAGGTCATTCACTCACCATCCCTATATAAGTCCCCCCAAGCAACAGTTCTGACAGATTGGATGAGCTAGCCAACTTGCAAAGGCCATCAACCATAGCCTTGTTTAATCTTATACCAACCAAGCTTAGTTCTGAAAATCTACATGGAAGAAAAATATTGGCATGTATCATATCGTCAAAGGTTCACACGAAGTTATGATAATGAGCTTTTCTTTACTGGTAAAGGCTGAAATGAGCAGTTAATTGGAATACAAGCCACATGACAAGGCATATTCATCGTAAAGGTAGAAATTAACCTTTTCAAGGATGCAAGTTTGGCTAATAGATTAACCATTGCAATTCCAGATATTGGCGTGTTCTTTCCTATATGACAAGAAAATGTTAATATATAAACAAATAAAACAAAATAACAACAGAAGTTGCAATATTATAAAACACTAGATCTTCAGACAGATACCTATGGAGAGATGTGAAAGGACAGAATCATCACGCAACGCATCAGCAACCTTCTGAATTGTTCTAGATGTGATAGAGCATTGTTCGATGTTTAAACTGTAGAGTGCTATAACACAAGGAGATATATTCTAGTCAAAAGTATATACATTAAAAAAGAGAAGAGAAATGTTTTGCTGGATAGTTAAACAATTGTTGTAGGTACACAAAAACATAGTTCATCTATTTTTAGTTCATTTTCCACAAACCCGTACGGAATCCATTTTTGTGTATTTTGCAATATGCCATATATAAATATATTTAGTTATTATACCGATACAGGTATATATATTGGCATAAACAAAGTGTATCAATGAATTAAGGTTCATTTTTTTTCTGATTATAAGATTATTTGTGTAATCTGACAGTTCTCCAACTCTTCATTGCAAGCTTTATGGCATATACTTCTGCAAGATCTGGAAAATATACTGCAGAAGATTCACTACTACAGAGTAATCCCTTTTTGGTAGTTCTTGAGTAGTTAAAAAATTTCCCAACAAATGGTTCCAATACAAAGAACTTAAAAAAAGAAAGATTTTTTTTCACTTGCTCTGATAATTCTTATAAAAAAAACAAGATTATTATTTTTGAAAGTTTAGAAAGCTATATGATAGAAATAATTACTTATATCAATACCAAAAAAATAGTTATGCGTGATGGTGGCGTGCGCTTTCTCGAATAGCACGATGGTGCATTAAAAATTTAAAATGCATTCTAAGAATATAAAATAAAATAAATAAAAATAAAAAACTAATGATGAAATTACACACCTTTGCATTTTTCTAAGATGGTATAGAGATATGAACTACAAGAATCTGTGAGCCGGTTCCCAGACAGATTTAGCACTTCGAGTCGAGCGAACAAAACTGGGCATTCACATATCTGCAGTCAGAAGCATAAAATTTTATGAAGCATAAGTATATAGCAACTTAATTAAATTAAAGAATTGAGAACTTTGATGATATTAAGAAACAGTTCGTGATTATCTGTCCTGAATTTTCAAATTTTTATGATTTTAAGAGACATGTCATGAGTGTCTATTCGTCAATACCAAGAACTTAACACCAAAAGACTAACTGCACTATAAAACTCAATAGCTTGTGTTACTTCAAAAAGAGCAGAGGAAAGATGCAATTTAGATGGTTTCTAGGATGTTGAAACCTGGAACAAAGAGGTTGGGCCAAACCGATTGCAGTGCAAATCCAACGTCAAGCCACCATACTTTTGGGTTGATGCAGAGAACATTTGTTGAAGTTTCTCCATTGTTTCATTACCTGCATGATTAGAGCGTAGAGTCTGTTTATAGATGTAGATAAAATGCAAATATTTCTTGTTGATAGAGGTAGTAGCAGAGATAGTGAGAAACAAAGAATCATTAAATGTGCACCTAAAAAATTATGAGAAATATCTAATACGGCAACTGTTTTGTGTGCCTGTAGAGCATTTATGAAGGGAAAGATAGTTGTATCTTGTAATCCACAATCAGGTACAATGACTTCATCTTCTGATACCTAGCATGGGAAAATGAGATACTCAACATGTCAGCTGAACAAAAATAATAATAGCCGGCATCAACAGAGATAACAAATATACATAACTTTAATGAGCACTATTTGAGTCAGTTTACCTCCAAACTATATAACTTCTTTACTAACTTGATGTTGGGTGTCTCTGATAATTTCTCACAACAGCCCACATACAGGTCCATAAGACGCTTTGGAACCCATCCTTAATAAATAACACAAAGAAAAGGAAGCTAAGAAGAGTGGCTTTCTAAAGAACTTTGATGAGAAGAAAAAGGCAAGATGATCTTAGTTTCCTGTTAAAGGAACATCGGTAATAAGTCAGGAATTGAATAGCAGGAGAGTTCACTGAACAAAAGTCAACAGACAAACATAGAATAGAAAACATAACTGAATACATCAATAAAACACTGAAGCATAACATTTGCTACAGAAATACAGCACACATGACTACCACTTAACTGAATAAATATTGACTAACCACAGATAATAGCTTCTATCTGAACATCTTCGCGAAGGTCCTTCAATACTTCAACTGGTTCCAGTGAATCTAGAACCTTTCCGCAGTACTTTAGATGCTTAAACATAGGCGCCAAACCTGGAAAATGACATGATAAGTACAAAACAATGGGAGTCGAAATATACTTTCTTGATGACCCATAAGCTTCGGCTTTTGCATGAAGTGGTTACTTACATGATATCACAGAACCAGGTTTCAGGAAATATAGGCTCAATGATCTGAATTAAAATATGTATGTCTGTCCCTATTGTTCTGTCTTTTCAAGCGAAGATTGGTAATAGAATGGAATCACTCAAGAGCTTTGTAATACTTATGTTTCAATAAGACCCTGACTATATGCTAAGGAGCTTTTGGAGTTGATATATATAATGTGAAATTGGTGGTGTCTGTGTATGTGACATGATGAGACAAATAAATTTACAAACGAATTATGTATATTTTGATTGACAACCTAAAGTTCTTTTTATGGATCATATATCTTGAAATATATTGGAGTTAGGCCTCACAAATTCTCTTGTTAAGAGGATGTGTGGCCCGCTGTCACGTGCCATAATTTTACAATTGATTAATATCTGTCCTGGCTAGGGCCTTGACAATAGATTAATATCTGTATTATCTGTCCTGGCTAGGGGAGTGACAATGGATTAATATCTGGCTAGGTGCATAAATGTATTTCAGCTGTCCAAACTGAATGACCTATATGTGGTACACATAGATCTGTCATTTTCTGATTGTAGATGGTGTAAAGAAAGTTTAATATTTTATAGCTATGCCACCTAAAACTGCACGCTACTGCAATCTATGCAAATGAGTATATTTCTTATTAGTGTAACTATGTCCTTGTGAAATGGAAATCCACCTCAATGCATTTGGTATCCTTTAAAAGCTATATTAAACACAAACTACATAAATATTGGATACTTTGTTGAACTTTATTCATGTCCAAGTAAGCAACCAAACTTATTCACATATGACCATGATGCAGGTTCTATAAAAATTTGCTTCGTGCCCCTCTTGGCAGACACATACGTGAAATTGAAAGCAAAAAAAAAGTAACTCTAATTTTAACTTGAAAGAACTAAGAAATGATAAATCTTTTGCTGGCTGCAACACAAGCCAATCCTTGTGATGACATCACTATTCCATGGAAATGATGGAAATGTTACTCATAAAACGTCACGCATAGATTGCACTTGTTGTCCCCTCCTAATTGTCACCAGGAACATCATCATATAAGCCTTTGGCTTTTGCCAACAAAAAGATGTCAAGTATGGGACAGAACTCGGAATTGACAAAGCTAATAAAATAATTGGCCAAATTTTCAGTTTGTAAAACCTTCATAAGTTTATGCCAAAGCCTTGCCTGGTAAACTATATCAAAAGGGCAATTCATGGTACTTTGATAGCCAGTTGGAAAGAAAGTTAGCAAACCATCTGGGGTGGAGGCAGTTTAAGATCCCCAGATTAAGGATCCAGCCTCTGAACTGATTTTCATAGGTGATGACTTGGTAATGTAATATCTGACTTGATATAGGGAACTGCCTTAATCTGCGGCAAGTCAAGGAGGAAAATAAAACTTGAAACTCACTCCCCCCACCCGTTCACCCCAAAAAAAGAGAGACGCACACACATGTGCACACGCATGCACACACAAAGAACTCGGAGTTTGTTCTGTTGGATGGAGAGCCAGTTGTTTCATGGAGGACCCAGCACATATGGATTTGAGAAGATTGTCTTGTGTCAAAGTTATACTGGTTGCTTCCCTAGCTGCCTTCTTATCCTATCTCAATGTGTTTTTATTAACAATGTTACATTAAACGCTGGACGCTTCTAGGCGTCAGACTTGGCGCCCAACGCTTAGTCGTCTAGGCGGACGCATAAGCGGTTTCTGAACGCTTTTTTTATTTTTTATTTTTTTAATTGTGATACTTGAAGATAAATATATATATATTCAATCAAAGATGCATAAATACTAAAATACCAGCACTATTAACTAAATTGCTTGGTTTACCAATTACAATAGCTCTTTGTATGTTTATACTTCTCAACTTAAATTATAAGTTCATCTCAACAGTGAAAAACTCATTCTTAACTCAAATTACTGTTAATGTATAAGTTACTGTTAAGTTTAAGTTAACAATAAACTTAAACTTAAATTTACTGTTAACTTAAGTTTAATGTTTACTTAAACTTAAGTGCACCATCAATAAAAAACTTAACATTAACTTAAACTTAAACTTAAGTTTACTGTTAGCTTAAACTTAAACTTAAACTTAAGTTTACTGTTAACTTACACTTCTTAAGTTTAAGTTACTGTTAACTTACACTTCTTAAGTTTAAGTTACTGTTGTTAACTAACTTAAATAGATATTTAAGAAGTACTCTTTACCTTGTTAGTAGTTACAAAGATCAGGGGAGCTCGGTAATGTTACAGAAGGTGCTAGGCAGACTAGGTAGGCATATGAGCGAACACCTAGCGCCTAGACCCCTAGGCATACACCTATGCAGCGCCTAGGCGTTTGACTATTTTTAAATTATTTAATTATAATAATTAATAAAAATATGTATTAAATTCATATAAATTTTTTAAAAAAGATAGCAATCTTAGTTCCATAATAAATCATGCATACTTAGATACTAAATAGCCAAAACAATAATTAACAAGGCTAGAGCCTAAGATGTTTTTTTATTTTTAATTACAATAATTGATAGTGAATGTCGATGTTATAGAAAGCTTAGATGCTGGTCTAGTGTCTGGGCGGATTTCTTTCTTCATTTAAGTGGTGGTCGATAAGATTTTGCTGAAGGTCGGAGGAGGTAGTGGAGGTGTTCATATTTAGAGGTTAATGAAGTTTGGAGGACGTGTAGGCTACAACACATAAAATCACAACCAAGACCTATAGGGTGCAATCCACATAAGCAGACAATAGTCCCCTAAACGCTCGTAAAATCTAGGTGGGCGGCCTAAATACCGCCTAGGCGCTAGGCGCTAGTTAGGCGGCCTAAGTACTGCGTAGGCCTAGGCGTACGCCTAAGCGGACTAGGCGCAGTTTTTTAAAACAGTGTCTATTAATACTACTAAGTTACTCAACAGGCAAATATATTTTATGCATTGGAATGGGTTGCTAACTGGTAACTGTCCTGGTAATATACACATGAAACTTGGAGAAAGCTGGTAAATGGATTACCGTTCGACCTTCTCTCGTCATATAGCTTCAGATAGTAGTGGCATGCAGCTGCGATTTTCATGCTTTCCGTGTCCACATTTTTTCTATCCATGCATGAACCCATGTTCATGTGAACCACGTCATGCCCAATTTTACATGTAATATAATGCTGCATAGTTTACAAGCTTGCAGAAATTAACAATTAGCATATAAAATGTTGAAAATTGATATTAAAAGCTGAGGAATGATAACATAACAAATCTGCAGTATTGACCTAAAACTACATTTAGCAGAAGTCTTAGAAGGAAAAGATTATCAGTGCATTGCAATGAACCATTCAGCAAACAATGCCCGTTTTAGATGAGTAAATAGAGTTAGAAACACTAGCTCTCTTTTAGTAAAGGTTCATTTTGTAGACAACACTGGTAAAACCGCTTGCTAATCTTATCACATGAATTGATTGCATAATACTAAAATGCATCTAAATATAACAAGGCCGATAACTGAGACCTACTTTTTTATTCTTTTTCTAGGTATTCAATAGGATTGGAAATAAATTAATTAAATAGTAGTAGAAGACTGGCTGACATAAATCAGTTCAAAGAATACCCTGAAAATGTAGATTAGACCCATGCCATCAACAGTACCAACTAGTATCTATCTACTGATGACATGTTACAGGTGTGATCTTCAGTATTCAGAAATTTCAGAAATAATGAACAGTGAGAATCATTGATCTTACGCTGTCGTCATCTTCAATATGATGGCAAACTGCAAAATCATGGTCATTTAGCAGATTACCAGAGACACTGCCACTCTCTAATTTGGACCCACTTACAGCACGTTTGGATGCACTGGGACTCTTGGACTTGAAAGAGCAAGAACTCCCTTCAGTTTGATCAGGTGCACATGTACTATGCACATCTCTCAAAAAAGTGGGACGTGTAGTATCCTGCTAAATGAAGAAACAAAAGTTGTGACTGTATTATTTATCTGAGGTGAAACAATCATTATATATAGAAGAATATTAAAAGTACAATGCAAGCAGGGAACGTGAACCACCTTAAAAATCAAGAGTTTACATTTAAATCTTATAGTATTTTAAAGTAAAACAAAATTATGCATATGAATCTTGCAAGTATATGCAATAAAACAGATACATGAAATTTTTGACTTAATCATACAGTTTGACTGTCGAAGTAGGTTGGAATTGTTCAGTGGCCCAATTCATACTATATGTCGAGATGAGTCAGCGTAACCACGTAAACAGAATAGTCCCTTTATTAAGAGGAAATACATAAATCGAATACTCCACAAATTTCCACAGAATAATGGAAATATACAAAATAATGACAAGGACAAACATCTGCATGTCCTTAGTATAGGATAACTAGTTCACCACTACCTTATTGGTTCCTTGTTCATCCTTCCTTGCATCTGTGGAACATAGGAAAGAGAAACTTTTCACCTTAACTTATCATAAAAAAAACACATCGATAAGGAGAAGATCAACTTAAAAATATAAGAAAGTGCAGATGATTCGTTCATAATATATATTTAAAAAATGATAATTGCAATTGACCTTTATCTGAACTAGCAACATCATCAGTGAGGCTCCCATGGAACCGCTTTCTCATTTGATCCATATCATCAGGATCATCAGTGTCATCGTCAGAAATTACCACCTTAGCACGTTTACGGCCAACAGATTGCAGATTATTAATAGACTTGTGTAGATCACCGGAGGAAGCATGTCCTGAGTGAGAAGAATTGCACATCTGCTTGTCATTACTATCTAACTGAGTTATCTTGGTCCTAGATAAATTTTTATTTTGGCGAATAAATTTCACCAAAGGAACAAGACCATCAGACTCTTCAGCATTGAGCACAGTTGGCTTCCTTAGAGCATGATTACTAACTTCTGGTGACTCACAAGCATTGGATAGGTTGTCAGATATTCCACCTTCTGTTTCCGTTTCAGAGCAATAATCATGACGTGTATTCCCTAGAACATCTTTGTCATCTAGTAGATGGTCTAAGTTTCCAAGGTCAAGCAGCAATTTCCTGCAACAAGTGTGCTTTAGTTAAGATTTGTAGGATAAGTGTGTTCTCTATAAAGGCAGCATATAACTGTGAGTACCTGGCCTCTTCAAGATTATCAAATCTAATCATCTGACTGTAGTGCATATTCTCAAGTGCAGTTTTCTGTAGTGATAGTAGATTGCCTTCTCTTGCAATTCTGCAAAGAAAGCAGCATTGTCAGTTTGATACTTGGAAAGCAAACAGAGAGCAACACTGCTGACTATTCACAGCATATGCAACATTCTATTTTTAAAAGTAGGTCTTCTGCAATGAAACTCAACACAATACTTCATATATATGAAATGATACAATACCTGTAACCCTCTTCAAAGGCCTGCAGGGCACCAGGCCAATCACCAGAAGAATCAAGAACACTCCCAATGTTTATCTTTGATGTAGCTTGTCCCTGAAATAAACTAACTAGAAAAATGAGGCCCTACTAATTCATAAATCCTTGAGCCACCAACATGCAGATATTTGAAATGTAGATGAAATAAAGAAAACCAGGTAGCAAAAATGGATAGAACTATCAATGACGCTCGACTTAATTTATAAACAATTTTTGCATGATACGAAAACCCAAAAAGATACTTGGAAAGGCTACAGATAATTCTAAAAATTAATCAATAGTTAACTAATAAGAAGCACCATCTTTTGCCCAAGATTAATCAGTCGTTCAACATCTACATTTGGTCTATTCCTGAAAGAAATGTAGAAACATCATGGTTATAAAAAGGATCTAAATAACTTACCTCCAGGTTCCCTATAGACCTGCAGATGTTCCAACTCTTCATATACCACTTGCGGGCTTTGTTAAAGTTCCGGAGCTTTTGGTATGATTCCCCAATAGCCAGAAGAGAATCACTTAGCTTATCTTTGTCACAGAGCTCACTTGCCACCTTTTTCTTTCTTTTAGCAAATTCTAGATGCTACAGAAAGGCGTTAGATTACATTTTAAATTTTCCCAAAACACTGTGATTCAATATTACCATGAGGGAATTTGTTGGATTCCCTGCCAACTGAAAAATACACTACCTTAAAAACCACAGAGAGCAAACTAAAGAAAGATTTCTAACATATGTTTGGGACTATAATGAATTAATGATCAAGACAGCAGATTGTTTGTACTTAGACTGCTACATACTAATTAACCAAGGAGCCAAAACAGTAGCCAAATGAGCATATGCTAATCCATAATTTTGAAATAAGCTTTAAAGTAAGAGATTTAACCACAATTACCAAATGGTTCTAGAAAAAGATTGTTATTTCAGCCGTCATTTGCTTACTTCCATGAGAACATACCATACGAACAAGGATTATTATACTAGATAGCATAAATAGCACTTAAATGCCTTATGGTTTCCCCCGCTTTGCACCTATATACACTCACTTGTTTCTAGCAGCAATTATATATCTTAAACTTTTTAAATTTTGCACTTTAATGCCTTCTATGATGCAAACGTGACAATTCTCCCCCGAATTTTCTTATACGATACTCACAATCAAGTAACTTTTTATCCCCTAATGTTTGCTGAAATTGCTGTTAAAACATACTCTAACGCCATATTGCCATTTTAAGCTTACCCTAAATAGATTTTAAAATAGAATTATGGTGGGTTTAACAGTATATTCAATGAACATTAGTGGCTGAAAAGTTCAAAATGAGCTTGTGAGTGTCAGATGAGAAAAGATAGGAGAAAATCTCACTTTTGCATAAAAGAATGTATTAAAGTGCAATTTTTAGAAACTTTAGGGTACATGAGTGCTACCAAAAACAAGTGAGGATATATAAATGCAAAGTGAGGGAAACTATAAAGTATATAAGTGCCAATTAGCCTACAATTTAACTAAAGGGACTAAACCAATTTAGGGTTTGAACTGTAGCTGAGCACTGGAGATGCTACAGTGCATCTCATTAATTTAGAACATATGTTAAACAGAAAGTGTAAATAAACGTTTTTTTACCAGTAAAGCCAAAGTTCAAACGCAATTTCTCTTTAACCCCACCCACTTCTAAAACCAATCTTAGTCCAAAATGCTCCATCAACTATAATAGAATAAGTATATGAAGGGTTTTCTGCCAACAAACCCAAGGTTTTACCCCAATTTATTTTTAATCTCACTTCCAAAATCACTCTTATACCTAAAATACTCCACAAATTATTTTCGAACCACTTTGTATTTCATCATATTGAAGAGGAGATGGCAGAGAAGATAGCAGAGGAGAGGCGGCGGCGGATAAGGAAGAGAGCTGACGGACGGAAGCGACAATGGAGAAGGAGAAAGAGGGTTTAATGGGTTTCTGGATTCATGAGATAGAGATGCGAGATGAGACAGATCCAATGAGGATTATCCAAAGGGCACTTCGGGTAGAGAGAGTCAAAGGGGCGGAAGCATTGGTAAAATGTCAAAGGGGGAGGAAGGTTGACTCTTTTTTACAGAGGACCCGAAGCAATTTTCCCTCCATGGAATTGATATCAATATCTGACTTGGTATTAAATGAAATTCCTGGCCAGATATGATCTGATTCTGCAGAGGATTTGATTAAAAAAGGGGTAGATTTCTATAAGATAATAGGATAGACTTCCGCAAGAACTCTTATCGGGTAAGAAATTGCACCACATTTAATGTATGCTTTAACCTAGGAAATGCGAAGAGCAAGCCTCTGCCTTTCAATTGGATTAAAACTAGTCAAGAATTAGAGAGAATTATAGATTTGCTATAAGTAATCCAAAACCAGAAAAGAACTTTCTCGTGTGAATATTACCAGTAATAAAATAATTCTTAGTTTAAATAATTAACCATTTCATGAAAATCACCTACAAATTGTTATTAACGGCGTCATGTCATGTGATAGTTTGGCACTGATGATATGTCTATTTTTGATAATTTAGATATTCAAATTATATTTTCACTTAGAGAATATCATGGCTTCTTGAGCTTAAACCGAAGTAATGATGCCCAGTTCGAAATTAGATATCAGCCTTTGTTAATAAACCTTCTATGACAAGGAAAGAAAAACAATGCCAGTTTAGACAGGAAGAGATAAGCACCATGTGGCTGGTAAAGAAGGGAGATAATTGGAAATAGTTCACTTACTTTCTGCCAAGCAAAAATCATGCAGGATTTCTCGATCAGAGAATCTAGGCAGGAATATTGCTCAAGAAGGAATTTTCTCTCCTTTGATGTGCGCCGCACATCTAATGCAGTCCTCATCAGCTTCTTAAGTTTCTGCTCATCTTTGAATAATTCCTGCAGTACTTTAGCTGCTTCTTTTGTTGTTTCGAAATTGTTATTTATCAGATCAACTAATGCTTTCTCATCTTCCAATTTTTCTGCAATATCAAGAGCCTTCTGATAGCAACGATTTGCATCATCATACTTCTGAACTCGAAAATGTACCTCCCCGAGATTAACGAACCCCTTTGATTCGCCAAGGGAATGGCCAATCTGTTTACATATTGAGATGTCCCGTTCAATGTGATGTCTAGCCTTATTCCATTCCCTCCGCTCCATATAGACACGACCAAGACTATTGTGAAGCCTAGTGCGGGCATCATCGTATTCGCTAACTTCCTCATCGTTGCATATCTTTAGGCCTTGAAGCAGAACTTTCTCAGCCTCATCCATATTATCAAGGTCAAATTCGAGCAAACCTACATTGTTATGTGCATCAATAAATTCCTTAACACAGTATGAAGCTGTATTACACGGAGGATTATCCTTCAATGTCCTTGCAAGCTTCATGGCAGATTTCAAGTATTTTTTGGCATTTCTCAATGCATTATGGTCATTTTCAGATTTAAGAAACATTTCATGGTAGGTACGACCGAGTTGTGTTTTGGCTCTTTGCTGCTCAATTAGGTTATGAGTATCCTCGGCAAGCTCCAAATGCTTTTTCTGCACGTCAAATAGAAACAGCAAGTAAAAATGTAGTGTCAAAATATCAACTGGCTGAGTGAGGTCTTATAAAATAAGTGTCTATAGACTAATAAAACACAGATAGAAGATATTAAAGATTGTCACAGTATATAGACATGCATCTAACAAAAGGAAATTTTTTGAGTTCCTAATTACAGTCAACAGGCTGCTCTGAGTCTGAAAATTTGTTTTCATATCCAGCAAGGTTATATGTATAGTTGTCAGCTCCAGTACGACATTGCTTCTCATTCAAATGATGGTAAAGCTCTTTCACAATGGAAAATCAAGTGCCATGTATGTAGGCTGTCAAAAAAATACTGTAGATAGCTGATCCTTACAAAGCGCTAACGATGAAAATTACAATCTGACGACTTTCACGACAACAGACGAGAGTTACAATTTGACGACTCTCATACTTCAAAAAGTCAAATACAAATATTATAAAATGACGATCTTTGCAGAACTTGAAGAAGATATTACGATTAACGACTACTTCAAAGCAAAACGCGAGGGTCCACCCCCGCGTTCCAACTCCAAAACGCGAGAGTCCACCCCCGCGTTTCAACTTCAAAACGCGAGGGTCACCCCTGCGTTTTAACTCCAAAACGCAAGGATCACCTCAAACGTGAGGATCACCTCCGCGTTTTACAAAGCTGAACGCAATGCTCGCTCCAGAACGCGAATCTCGCGTTTGACCATTTCAATTGCAATTTGAACGGTTCAAAACCGTTTTCCACACAATGGGGCCACTAATCCCCCATTAAAAATGGAGAGATTTATGGGGTCAGTTACACCTCTAGATCTCTAAAAATAGCTTAGAATTCAGCTGAATACAGATTCTTTTGGATCATTTTGGTTGGAGCTTGGAGATCATTTGACTTAGTGCTGTCCTCTCACCGCTTAGCTCATCTTCTCGAAGATGACGACTCTTTGACTTCTCTGGTTGTCTTCGATATTATATGACGGTTACATGTCTATTTCATCTCTATGATCTCTTTAAATCATCAAATGCACTTTTTGATTTTCTAAACTTTTTTATAATTTTTTTAATATTTATACATATCTAAATTAGACCATTATTTGACTTTACGTTTTTTACTGTTATTTTATCATAATAGCCCCAAATAGCTTTAGCAATGTCTCACTGTTACACGACACTATCCGCTATCGATAACCTTGTCTACCGCTTTGGCATACCAAGACAAATAGTCCACGATAATGGAACTCAATTCGTCGGTCACGGCTTCTAGAGATTCTGTAATAAGTTTAGAATTCAAAGTGTCACATCAACGGTATATTATTCGCCAGCTAATGGCCTTACAGAAGCTTTCAATAAAACTATTGTGAAGCTTTCCAAAAGTTTGTCTCTAAAAGTCGACGTAACTGGGACGAAAAACTTGGCGAATGTCTATGGGCTTATCGCACAACGGTAAGAACCCTAACAAAAGCTACTCTCTTATCTTTGGTATACGGATGCGAAGTCGTGTTACCATTAGAAATTCAGATCTCATCCCTAAGAGTTGCTCTGATAACCGGGATGACTGATGAAGAAGAACATCAACTACGCCTCCAAGAACTGGAAGCGTTAGACGATAAGCGGCTTCAAGCTCAACAACAGATCATGTTATACCAAGTTTGAATCTCTAAAGTCTACAATAAAAAGGTCAAAGAAAAGATCTTCACGAAAGGTGACCTGATTTTAGCAATCAGACGACCTATGATCATGACACATAAGATAAAAGGTAAATTCAATCCTAAATAGAAAAGACCCTTCATAGTAGAGTCAGTCTACTCGAATGGAGTTTACAGTCTCATTAATCAAAAAACGATAGGCTCATGATACTAATTAACGAAAAAATTCTCAAAAAATATTACCCATAAAAATCATGAGACCCTTTTTTTCCTCCTTGTTAAGTCTAAAAAGAGAAATTAAACTCGCTCAAGACTGAGGGTTGGTTACTTAGAATTCACTGGATTAAGAGTAATAAATCTTCTAAGTTGTCATGTTTAACAAAATACCTCTGCCAACTATTAAAGTTAACAAAATATCGTCGAATTAACATTATACTTCTAATGATTAACATCCCCATGGAGATCGAATTCAGGTTGTCTCATTCTTAATATAACAAGCTTTTCCGAACCAAAATCAACTTATCAACTCTCTTCAATAAAGTGATAAGTCCTTAAAAATCTTGTTCAAATCACAAGTACAAAATATCGTCAAGTTAACACTACACCTCTAATGATAAAATTAACTTATTAATTCTTTTCAATAGAGTGATAAGTCCTTAAAAATCTTGTTCAAATCACAAGTACAAACTATCGTCAAGTTAACACCACACCTCTGATGATAAAATTAACTTATCAATTCTTTCTTATAGAGTGATAAGTCCTCAAAAATCTTGTTTCAAATCACAAGTACTAAAAATCATCAAATTAACACCACACCTCTGATGATAAAATTAACTTATCAACTATCTTCAATAGAGTAATAAGTCCTCAAAAATCTTGTTCAAATCACAAATACCAAAAATTATCAAGTTAACACCACACCTCTGATGATAAAATTAACTTATCAACTCTATTCAATAGAGTGATAAATCCTCAAAAATCTTGTTTAAATAACAAGTACCAAAAAATCATCAAGTTAACATCATACCTCTGATGACGAACTCAACCTATCAATCATCCTCAATAAGATGATAAGTCTATAAAATAGATGTTATGTTAACATTACACCGCTAACAGTTAAACTCGACCTTCGCGTTTTTGAAGATAAGACGCGGATCTTGCGTATCAAATTGCTCAATGATCAAAGTAATGAGGAGCGATTCTTTCTCAGAATCAGACAAAGAAGATAACCAAAGTATTTTAAAAATTTGTTCTAGTCAACCGTAAACTTTTAAAAACTTTGAAGGGGGTTCTGTATGCTGTCAAAAAATTATTATAGATAATTGATCCTCACAAACGCTAACGATGAAAGTTACAATCTGATGACTTTCACGATAACAGACGAGAGTTATAATTTGACGACTCTTATACTTTAAAAAGCCAAATACAAATATTACAAAATGATGATCTTTGCAGAACTTAAAAAAAAGATTACAATTAACGATCTCTTCAAAGCAAAATATGAGGGTCTAACCTCGCGTTTTAACTCCAAAACGTAAGGGTCACCCCCGCGTTCCAATTCCAAAACGCGAGGGTCACCCCCGCGTTCTAACTAGAAAACGCGAGGGTCACCCCACGTTTTAACTCCAAAACGCGAGGATCACTTTCGTGTTCTAACTCCAAAACGTGAGGATCACCCCCGCGTTTCACAAAACTGACACGAGGCTCGCTTTAGAACGTGAATCTCATGTTTGACAGTTTTAATTGTAATTTGAACGGTCCAAAACTATTTTCCACATAATGGAGCCACTAAGCCCTAATTATGGAGAGATTTATGGGGTCAATTACACCCCTAGATCTCTATAAATAACTGAGAATTCAACTGAATATAGATCCTTTTGGATCATTTTGGTTGGAGCTTGGAGATCATTTTACTTGGCATTTTGAACCATCTTTGATTGAAGATCTTTGAGATTGGCTATCAGAGAGGAAATCTATTTAGCTTATTTCGGTTAAAAAGCATTGAATTTCCTTTCTGAAATTAACTCTCTCGCAGTGTTCTAAACTCGTTCAGAATTCCCAAACTTGCTTTGCAAGTTCTCCTAAGACGTTAAGTCAAGAAGAGAATACCAAAGTTCCACAAAGCGAGGTGCTCGGATCGTTAACGGGATACAACAAGACTCAAGCTCCTATCGCCACCAAAAAGAACCCAATATTGAACAAAGGGAATGATCTCCGTTGAACTTTCTCTTTTGTAAATCGAGAAACCGATAAAGAAAATTGTAATTTCTTTTTCTAAGTCAATTAGAGAAAAGTTACTTTGAAAGATTATATTCATTCTTTTCCTAAGTCAGTTAGAGAGATTAATATAAATTTATTTCTCAATTTTCTTGTAATTTTTTTCGTAAACAATGTAGTTCTTTGAGGCTAATATAATATGGCTATCAAACAAGATGAGATTATATGGAATTAGTATTGAATATTTAATGCATCTCATAGGACTTGTAGAAACAATTGACTGGTCTTTTGCCATTCGTCTGATTCCTTGTACGACTTAATCATGACTATCTAGTATCTACGTGTACATTGTTTCTGGAGCATTCCTCGTAAATTTGAAAGTGAAACCAATAAAATAGAGAAAAGAATCTAACTAATCTTTTTTCTAATACATGAGATTGTTAAAGCCTCATCCACTACAAATGCAGGTTGAGGGTCCTAATTTGTACTACAACATGCCCCCACAGGTTGAGCGTCCTTTTCACGGTCGAAACCTTGACTCACATAACAATATCTTTTTCCCCCCTTAAACCCACTTTAACACATGGTTGGAGGGATTAGAACTTGCTTTTCTCTAATAACCCCCTTCTGTTGTGCCAACGCTAAGCTGTAGTAAGGGTTGAGGGTTATAACCTTATATTCTAACTGTGTAAGAAATTAAGGACAATGTGGGAAAAAAAACATGAAGAAAAGATAGAATTTGAACAAATACCTATTTCATTTTATATATCCAATTCATCCACAAGAATAACTTCCAAAAAACTACATATCGTTCAAGCATGTAGGATAACTTTTGGTAAATAGTGCAGGGATTTTGGCAAATAACAATCTGCATTCCGACTATGTTTCAATTGAATGAATAATACCAAGTTACCAACCACATGAAGTACATCAAAGTAAGCCTTCTAGAAAAAGCCTGATCAAAAGTTATTCACCCAGGTTTAGGAAATTGGGTATTAACTGCTACCAGGGTGGAAAAGTAGGTACATTGTTGTACAATGTTTGAATCAATTTTATGTTCAATCCGTTTTCCTCAAATCCAATTCACACATTGAATTCATTGCTCAGTGATGTCAAGTAAATTGCGTGTCATATAAACAAACCATGATGATCAGTGAAAATACAACATTAAGGAAACAAAGAACAATTTTGATCCAAAATTATAGCGTCTAAGCAACTTCACAATATCTCAAAGCACTCATGGTAGAACAACAATAAAGCTCTCATCCAAAAATTTTGGGGTTAGCTACATAATCCTAGTCTTCCACTCAATTTTGTGGAGGGTCATCTCCTCTACTAAGTTGGTCGTTATCATATCCTTCTTAACGATTTCTATTCAAGTTCTCTTAGGCCTACCTCTAGTCCTTCATTATCCGCGAAGCATAATCTTATCACCTCTTCTTCTAAGATGCATTTAATGGCCTCCGCTACACATGACCAAATCATCCCTCATTATCCTCAATAGGAGAAAACTCTAACTTTATGCAAATGCACCCATTGCTTATCCTCGTTCTTGTGTATATCCACTCGCGCACCATAACTTTTTCATTTGTCTTACACTAAAATTTTGAGCTGTTGTTTCTTGGTTGTCCAACATTCTAATCCATAAGGCACTGTTGGCCTTAAAACTGTATATAGAATTTCTCTCTTCAATTTCATCCTACCCGATGAATTATGACATATTAACTGAAAAAATAAATAAATAAAGTAATTATAAAGCTAGAGTTTTGATGAATGCCCATCTCACTCCAGCTCTAACTCACTAAAAAATACGAATTTAAAAAGCAAACAAACGGAAAAATCAAATGGAAACCTGATAAGTTATGGCGTGCTTGAACTGCTCCAATCGAAGGTAAATCTCACCCATGGATTGGCACGTGGGAAGCAGCTGCTTTAAGGGAAGATACTTGACCGATATCTCGTGGTCGATTCGTAGCCATCGAAGAGCTTCGACGTACTCTCCCTTGTTCTTCAAGATGTCGGCGATTGAGTTCGCCCATTGAGCTTCTAGGGCGTGATTTCCGATTCTTTTTGCTTTTTCGTACTCGATTTTGGCTTCCTTTAGCTCTTCATCGGCTTTCCTCATTGATTCTTCTCTAAATTAGGGTTGGAGATGGTTTTTGAGAATTGGGGTTTCGAGAGGAATTAGGGACCTGGAAGAGGAAAATTAAAGGGAGGGGAAATCTCCCGCCAGAAATTTGGGATTTGGGTATTTTGGGGTGGCTTTATCGGCCGTTGATTGAGCCGGCTCCAGAACTCGTAACAGCTTTCTACTTCAGCCTACGAGCCCCATCGAGGATTCCCGCCCCGTTTGTCGTGTAAAATGTTGGCTTCTTTCCTTTTTTTTTTTTTTTTTACACACGCCATACTATACATGTATGCCCTTTTTGCTGGTCAACTTTTTTTATATGAACTACAATAACCTATGGACTATGAATTTTTCTTTTATCGGACTAATTGATATTAAGAACGGTTAAATTCCAAAAAACTGATAATGATTGGAACTTTTTGCTGGCGTGCTGCTATGTAATGCTAATTGTTGGCCACCAAACTTCCTACGAGGAAGTGTTGTCTACAGAAACTTCCTATGAGGAAGTTTCTCCAAAACATCTGATTAGACATCCTTCTTCTTCGTAGACGAAACGATCATATGATAATGTGGAAACATCGAGAAACATATTCGAAATAAAGAGCATAGCAATCTATCGCAGAAAATTATACAGCTGAGCAAATATATGGTTCGACAATCGCCTACATCAATGATAAGAGATTTAAGTCTTCTTTATAACATATAAGTATTATTTATAACATATATAAAAGATACAACATTTCTTGTGTTTTTTATAGAACCCACAAGAAACTATCTCTCAAACTCATTATTAAAGATCTTTCAAAACCCTATATTCCTCTCCTTATCCCCCCCCCTACCTCTTTGTTACAATGTGCATGTATCCTTAGCTTTTCCACAATGCAAACCCTTTTAACCTGAAAGAGTCTACTTATAGGATCCACTACAGGAGACAAACTCGAATATAGCTCCTAATCCGAATAGAATATCAAAACAATCCAAAAGATGCCCAAACCGGCCTGATCGGGCGGTGTGACAGGCCAGTAACACCGACAGGGCTTCTTGATTGTCCGGATTCGCACCTTTTTGGTTCTGTTTGGAAAAACTAGCTGAAAGCTACGAGATTATAGCTGAAAGCTGTCAAGCTAGCTGAAAGCTGTGAAATTGTAGCTGAAAGCTGATAGCTGTATAGCTAGCTGATTGACTAGAGCTGTTTTGCAAAAGAAGCTATACAACTAGCTTAAATTTGTTAAATGACTAAAAAGATCATGCAATATTATTAATATAAAATTAAAATTATCAGGGGTAAAAACGGAAGAAAAAAATTGACAGCTCCTTCCCAAAGACAAACGCTACTTGAGATAGCTTTCCAAAAGCTACTTGCAAAAGACACAATCTCCAAAATAATCTTCTTCTATTTTTGGTCACCAAACAGCTCTACTAACTTATTTACCAAGTCAATAAAACACAAGCTATTAGATAACACACTTTTTTTTGTTGTCAAACAGTGCCTTTGTCTTTTTTCCTCGTATCACCTAATACTTCGATTCTGGCTCTTCCAATGTCTTTCGGGCTTAAATACAATGATATTTCCCAACATTTATAAGTGAATGTATGTGAAGATACATTTCTACTTGGTAATTCGCTAAAATTAAACATTTAAACGTATTGTTTTGTAGTTTGATCGTGTTTGAGAAAATATATGTTAGCTTGGATTTAAGTTGTGGTGTTGTTATCTCAAACTTCAAATAACATTCTTATTTTATTCTTTAGTATCTTGCAACATCACAGAAAAATAGGTTAAAATCTAAAGTTGAGATTAATGAGTATCATATGGCGTATGAGGGGATTCCCTCATATACAATAATGTGGTACAATCTTCACCAAGTGAATAAAGTATGAGAGAGAGTGGCTCATAATCACACTTAGTGGTGATTGTGTCACATCATTGTATATGAGGGAATCCCCTCTATGACATATGATACCCATTAATTTCATTCAAACAGAAAATATGCATGCATAAAATAAATTAAATTAACTTATTATTGTACGCAAGAAATATTGCAGTTAAATGTTTAAATGTGTTAATCTCTCAAAATAATTGATATTCTATAGCCATAACTCTAGACATATTAAGTAGTAAGTCTAAAATTAAAAAAGAAAAAACATCTTGCTCTTTACTAATAATGAAAATGGACATAAAAACAATATAAATCTTATCAAACATATTAAACCATTTGATCCCTGTTTCCATATATTTTAACTAGTATAATTATTTCTCACAATGGAATTTTACCTATTATTATACTCCGTTTAAAAGCACGAGTTGTGGAAAATCTTTCAGTAGAAAAAATATCATTGAAATTCAAACACTAATCTGCTAAGTAAGAGTAAGTTGATTTATTTAAAAATATTTATTCATAACCGTGCTTTGATAGAAATAGAATTCCTAGGATTCAATTCAATGCCTTTATTCAGAAATAGTTATCCATAACCGTGCTTTTATCCTAAACGTGGTTAAATATCAAAATAATTTAATTTTATATTTATTTCATTACTATAAATAAGTCAGGTTCATTTTGAGTTTAAATATGTAAAATTGAATTATTAGATTTGCTATAATTAATATTTAAACATTATAAAAAATTAATGTAATGGATTTTTACACTAATCTGGAATCAATATACTTAACTAGGTTATTTTATTGTCATTATGAACTATAGTTCTAGCAGTAAAGAAATTACATTTCTTATTGCATTGTGTAGGCGTCAAAAATTGCCCATAAGTCCCCGCACGCGGCTCGAGGCAGAGAGAAGATGATGAACATTACTATTCGAGTCACATAAGCTCATTTAACAACGACAAACACATAAAATGAGTCGACGGACCATGCGAAGCAACGAGATTTCAGAATAACAGAAACACAAATGGACCGAGAGCTGCACGTCGCTCACGAAAGATGAAGCGCCCTCTCGTGACCCGTTTATTCCACTTATGATTTGATCATGGGAGCTTGTAGATCTCCTCGTTGGCTTTCTAATGCATTTTGAATCGCGTGATTTCGAGTTCGGATAACGAAAATACAACGAAAACGGACAGAACAGACAAAACTCTCCAAGCCAAGCCTTGGCGAGACACCCATAGGTGTCTCAACCAAGCCTTGGCTGAGACACTAAGAGGTGTCTCGGCCCAAGGTTGGCCGAGACACCCACGGGTGTCCGCAGACCCGAAAATCAGATTTTGGTAGATTTAAGCTGTCTTTCGACCATTAACCGCCTAGATTTGCTCTAACTAATAAAATATCATCCATGAACGTGGTTAAGTGGTTACAACTGAGGATAAGAGGGAATCAACCATTCTTATCCGAAAACAGGGGTCCCGAAGCCGATAAATACAGCCCCAGGGCCTTCATTTTTCCAGATCTGGAATTTTCGAGCTTTGGCGAAGCCCTGTTGAACTAAAGACTGAAGGAGCACGAATTTCAGAAGAGAGGAGGAGATCGGAGAGAGTTCTTTAACACAAAGAATAAGAGTTTGTTAGATCCACAGTTCCCATTTCTTATCCTTGATATTGCCCCGTTACGGTGATTTCGAGAAGAGTGATTATCTCGCTGTTGCTGAGATAATTACTTCGGTTTCTTGATTCCTTCGCGAATCAACGAAGTTTCGGATCTGATCTGATCGCTTGGTAGTCCACGGATATTAACGTCCCCGTCACCGGCCAAGATCTTATGCAAGCAGCGGAGGATAAACGTCCGTTGCACTGTTTGACGAAAGTTTGCTTTTTTATTTTCATTGTGTAAGGGTTTTATAAAAAGACTAACTTTTTCTTTTCATTATAATGTTTGATGTTGTAATGAATACAACAATGAAATCATTAACTTTCTCACTAAACAAGCCGGCGATCACAGTGGGAGCCAACAGCTTCCCTGTCAAAGCTGTCGTGACGCAACTAGTGATCAAGATCCTAGTAAATGAAGAGGTCGAATATGAGTTCGACCAGCAGAAGTTCGAGGAATACTTGTCCTCCTCCAGATCTGCCTCTCCTCGCAGATCCAGAAAAGTCTGCTAGTCTTCCGACATGAAGACCCGAGAAGATGATCTCCGCGTTGCCGCCATAGCAGTTATAAGTCGCAACGTGTCGCCGACATCTGGCGAAGTTAGATCAGCAGATCCAAACTCCTCCTTGACCAAAGAGTCAGTTGCTAAAGCTGCGCCAACGTTGTCAAAGAGGGCGTGCCAAAAACGGCGTCAACGTCTTGCACGTCAACTTGCTAAAGGTTTGGAGCCAATGGACGGAATCCGCTATAATGTAGATCTAAAATCTAGACAGCGCCAAGAACAACAACAGCGATCGAGCAGCCCCTCCTCTAAAGTAGAGAAGAATGAATGAGTCTGCGTCAAGAGGACCCGCTCTACCTTTGAGGAGTGAATCCAGAAGCATCGCACATTGCTGGCGCAAGCCCGAATCCTTGTGCAAGAAGCACGAAAAATACAGAAGGAAGAAGTGGTTAAAAAATCGCCCAAGCAGAAACGGGTTTGGATGTCAAAGGTCAAATCAACGCCTAAGGAAAAAGTAGACGAAGTTATCCTTCGACCTTCGTCAACTCCGGATCTCACTCCCCTTGGTAGTGTGGACCTCACCAAATTCAGAGTTTCTCTGAAAGATCGTCTTGGTCCTCTCCCTGAAGATCAAGGTAAAGCACCTGTTAAGGAGCGATTGAGACCGTTGAAAGGTTTCCAAACAACCATTCAGGCCGGGGGTCATACTAATCCCCCCAATAATAATAAAGAAAAAGTTCTTATGACTGACCGCATTTGATTGCGAGTTGAAGTACAAGAGCCCGTTAGAGTTTCACGCTTACAAAGGCGTAAATCTAAACGAGAGACTCTTGGAGACGCCAATGAAGCGTCATATCCTCAGAAGGAAACATGTTCGTCTAATGACGACATTATACCTGGGAAGCCGTGCCAACACACGATAGGTTACTCCAGTTATTAGACTAATGAGTTGTACTATCAGATGGCAAATACGAAATATCCGAGAGACGAACTCTCGTTGTCCGTGCGTGAAAATCATCAAGGCAGTGTTGTCAGAATGCAGCTGCCACGGGACTGATCCCCGAAGGGTCTCAATATTTGAACGAATCTCTACTGAAACATCCGATCCAAACACCAAGCGTTTTCGCAGAAGAAGGCCAACCGGCTTAGTTGACGAGTTCCCTCGAGTA